TCTGGTGCTAGAGGTAGAGTTGATCCTATGATCACAAGAGCCAGAAAACTACGTTGGACTACCACCAGCTAAAACTTTCAGCAGAGCAGCCCCTGCACCACACCTGGGCACCACCACAAAAGAGCCAACCATATCAGCTCAGATGTGGGAGAACCAGCCCCAGTGTTGTACCCAAAGGAGAGGGCTCCACATTTCTCATCTCTCTTGTGGCTGCATGGGCAGGGGGTGAGTATTCCTGCTAGCCCATGTCTGATCCATCAGTGTCTTTCAATGAGGATAGACATTGTGATATTAAGAGTGAACAAACTGTATTGGATCACCACCAGCTATAACATTCAGGAGAACTGGTCCTGCACATCACCAAGGAACTACAATAGAGCTAACCATGTAGGGTCAGGTATGGGTGAGCCAGCCCCCAAGTTGTGAGCATGTGAGAGTTGTCCCCATTACCCATTATTTGGTAGCAACACACATTGAAGAGAGCTGCCTCCCTCCTACCCATCCATCAAATTCTGGTGGCAGGTGACAGAGCCTCCCCTGTGGACATAAGAGCATGAGAGCTATATCTGATCCCTACCAGGTACTACACTCAGCAGAGCAGGCCATGTACTTTGTCAGGGAATTACAATATAGCTATCCATGTCAGCTCATGAGTGGGTGAGCCAGCCCTAACGTTGTAAGCATGGGATTGCTCTCTGGATTTCACATCTGATTTGTGGCTGCATGGGCGTGGGGTGGCTGCCTGCCAATCCCTTCCCAAGCCCATAAATGTGTGGGGCTGCTAAAGTTAGAGCTGACCCCTGTAATCATAAGAGCAGGAGAACCATATTGAACCATGACCAGCTGCAATACTCAGGAGATCATGCCTTCTCCTCACCAAGGCAGCACAATAGAGTCAACTATGACAGTTCAGGAGTGGATACACCAGCTCTAACATTGTAAACATGGGATACCTCTCCCCAATTTTTATCTGTCTTGTGGGTGCATGGGCAGTGAGGAGAAGCCCTCCTATCCTACCTATGACCTTTCATTTTCTGGGGCTGGGGTAGATCTGATCCTACAACTATTAGATCAGGAAAACTACACTGAACCACCACGAGCTCAATACTCAAGAGAGCAGTCCCTGCACCTCACCAGGGCAGCACAATACAGCCAACCAAGTCTGCTCAGATATAGGTGAGCAATCCCCCAAATTGTAAGCATCGGACAGCTCTCCCCATTTCTCATCTGTCTTGTTGTAGCATGGGCAAGTGATGGCTGACCCTACCCCATCCCTGGTCCATCAATGTCTGAGACAAGTGGTAGAGCTGACCCTGTGACCAGAAGAGAAACTGTCATGAACTACAACCCACTGCAACACTTATGAATGGAAGCCCTGAACCTCACCAAGGCATCGCAATAGAGCCATCCCTGTTAGCACAGGTAGGGACGAGCCAGTGCCAAAGTTGTCACATAGGAGAGCTCTTAACATTTCTCATGCATTTTGATATGCTAGGTCCTATAACGGATATGAATGCTGGCCCTGTAGTTATAACTATGGGAGAGCTATCCCTGACCCTTACCAGCTGCAACACCTGGGAGAACTGGCCCTGAATCATGCCAGGGCAGAACAATAGTGACAGCCTTACTAGGAGAGGTGTGGTTGACGTAGGCCCACAACTGAGTATGGGAGTGCTGTCCCCATTTAGCTATGTTTGGTGGTGCCATAGGTGGGAGAGTGTTACCCTCTCCCCCCAGATAAATGTCTGAGGAAGGTCTCTGAGCTAACCCCATGGTCATTAGAGCAGAAAATAACTTATCTTTGACCCTAATCATCCGCCAAACTTGGCAGAGCAGGCCCTGCTTCTCAATAGGGCAGCACAATACTGCCAACATTGCCAGTTCAGGTGTGAGTGAGCCAGGTCTGAAGTTGTAAGCATGGGGGAGCTCTCCCCATTTCTCATCTACCTTGTGGCTGCATGGGCAGGGCAGAACTGCTCTCCTACTCCATACCTCTTCCATCGATGTTCTGGACAAGTGTTAAGAGCTGACCCTGTGACCATAAGATCTGGAATGCTGCACTGGAGTACAATCAGCTACAACACTCAGGAGAGTGGACCATGTTCCTCACCAAGGTAGTGCAATAAAGCCATCCCTGTTAGCTCAGTTGTGGACGAGCCAGCCCAGAAATAGTAAGCATGGGAGAACACTCCCCATTTCGCATGTGTCTTGTGGTACCAGGGCCCGTAGCAGGTAGCAGAGTTGGAGCTGTAGTCATACGTGTGGGGGAGCTATCCCAGATCCCCAAAGCTGCAATACCTGGGAGAACTGGCCCCAAACCATGCTGAGGGAGCCTAATAGAGACACTCTATTAGCAGAGGTGTGGGTGGTCAACCCCCAAATTTGTGTGTATGGGAGAGCTGTCACCATTAGCCATCACTTTGGTGGTGGTATTGGTATAGGATACATCCCCTCCTCCTCCCTGCCCATCACTGTCTTAGGGAGGTCTTTGAGATGACCCTGTGGTTATAGAAGTAGGAGAGTTATCTCTGACTCCCACAACACTTGGCAGAGCAGGCCCTCCTCCTCACCTTGTCAGTTCAGATGTGGGTGAGCCAGCCCCAAAGTTGTAAGTATAGAAGAGCTCCCCCTATTTCTCTGCTGTCTTGTGGCTGCATGGGCAGGGGAGCGCTATCCTTCTACCCCATTACTTGCCCATCAATATATGGGGCAGGTGTTATATCTTACCCTGTGACCATAAAAGCAGCAAAACTGTACTGGACCACTACCAGCTGCTAAGCTAAGGCGAGCAGGCCCTGTGCCTCTCCAGGGTAGCACAATAGAGCCAATCATGTCAGCTCAGCTGTGTGTGAGCCAGCCCCAGATTTGTAAGCCCGGCAGAGTTCTCACAATTTCTCATCTGTCCTGTGGCTGCATGGGCAGGGAAGTGCTGCCCTCCTACCTCATCTCTGGCCCACCGATGTCTGGGGCATGTTGTATAGTTGAATCTTTGACCTTAATAGTGATAAAACCATACTGGTAGCCATACGCTCAGGAGAGCAGGCCCTGTACCTCACCAAGGACTAACAATAGAATCATTCCTTTTAGCTCTGGGTGGAAGAGCCAGTCCAGTCTGTTAGAAACATAGGAGAGCTCTCCACATTTCTAATGTGTCTTGAGGTGCCAGGGCCTGTAGTAGGCGGGACAGCTGTCCCTGGAGTCATAAGAGTGGGAGAGCTATCCCTGACTCTCACAAGCTGCAACACCCAGGAGAAATGGCCTTGAACCAATCCAGGGCAGAACTATAGAGACAGCCCTGTTAGGAGAAGTGTGGATAAGCTAGTCCCAAATTTGTGAGTATGGAATAGCTGTCCCCATTACCTATTGATAGGGTAGTATAAACCAGAGGCCTTGAACCAGAAGCATGATTCTTTGCAATGAACAATTGCAAATAAAAAAAAAAAAAACTGACAAAGGTATTTAAAGCGTGACTCACTGTGTCACACTGCAGCTTCCAAGGCAAGATTTTTAACTTTCTGCTTTTTAATTTTCTATTTTCTCTTAAGTTTTTTTTTATTTGGGTGGTATGCAGGGCATAAGTCAGATGCTATGGAACAGGGGAATGAATGGGATCAAGAAACATGATGTAAAAGACATATAGAATAAATTAATCAAAAATACATTTCTACAGTGTGTGTATGTGCACACATGTATGCATGTACACATAGGTACACACATTCCAAAATATGTTGAGGTCAGAGCATAATATATCAGAGTTTGTTATTTCCTTCTACCATGTCAGTACTAGGGCTTGAACCCGGGTCCTTCAGCTTGGCAGGAAGTGTCTTATTTATTGTATCATATCATCTGAGAATATCATTTTCTAAGCTTATTTTTTGTTAATTATCCCTGTTCTGATAAGAAACTACAAGATGAGTTCTAGTAAATGTGTTTCATAACTGAAACAATTAAGACTAGACTTTAATTGACAATAAATTTATCAGTAAAATTTGCTCTTTTGAGTCATTTCAAACATTTTTCAGAATGTAACCTGTCAGAAACACCTCTTGAGTATGTCCTGTTTAAAAAATAACTTAATATTTCAAAGATCATTTAATTATAAATTTCTATATTCTTCAGTTTCTGCCCAAGTATCAATTTCATTCATATTTAAGAACTCACTAATTTTGCTACTCAAACTTCTCAATGTTTGGTCATGTCTTAGCAAAGGGATAACAGACTAATTTCACAATGTTAGCACAATACGGAAGTGTCTCATTGGGAACCAGGAAAGAAGAAGTCAGAGGTCAAGAAACCAATATGCTGCTAATTCAGGTGCACAGAAGATATGGATCTGTAGTTTCAGTGACAAAGATGGAAGTTATTTAAGAGTGATATAGTAAAAATATAAATCCTGCAATTCTGTCTGCCAATTAATGAGGCCAAACATAAATAACCATCAACTGATGACCTCCCCAAAATGGCAAATTCTAACAGAAGCAGTGCAGGTTTAAACATTCTGATTTAAATAATAAACTATCATGCCTTTTAGAAAGCACATGAACAAAATTAACAAGAATAATTAATCAATTATAGCTGAGTTATCTACCAAATCAATGGGTAGAATAATTAAATAATTATGTATTTGTAATTATTTGTAATAAATTTTCTCCAATACAGCATGCTCCAACCATGAGTTACAAATAGTGTAGAATTTTTTTTTTGGTTTTCCTCTTTGTTCTCACAAAGTGCTACACTTCAGTTTTAAAACTTTGTATATTGAGAACTATATTTATGTGAATTTGTAATATCAGATAGACCCTAGCCCTTTTTATATTCTCAGAACACAGGAAAGCACTAAAATACATTCCTTTCTACTTGTAGTTATTGTTTAGACAGGATCTCATTCTGCATGACTTTTTATTTTGTGTTTACTATATGTAACTGTAAAGTCTGAGTGAGACAGAAAATAATTAAGACAAACCATATTAAAAATTAAGATAGTCAGGAAATGTACCAACCTTCAGGATCAAGAAGCTTTTCTATGCCTAAGTGACATTTGGCAATATTGAAGGCATGCTCCAGTCTTTGTGTGGCTGACTGCTGGGAAACCACATTATTCCAATCAAAGAGTTCTGGCCTGAAACAGATATATACATAAAAAAATAATTAATATGCAATGCACTATGAAACCTTTTCAATTCTTAACTGAGATATTTTGTTTGACTTTTTAATTCCCAAAGTCTATAAGAATTAATAGATTCTTATTACCTGTGGTGGTTTGAATGAGAAAAGCCCTTAGGCTCATATACTTGTATGCTTGCTCCCCAGTTGGTGGTACCATCTAGTAAGGATTAGGAGGTATGGCACTGTTGTAGTAGATATGGCTTTGTAGGGGTGGACTTTGGGTCTTCAACAGTAGATTCCAGGCCTAGTCTCTTTCTTTCTCTTGCCTACAACTTGAAGATGAGATGTGGGCTCTCGGCTACTTTTCTAGAATCATGTCTGTCTGTTTGCTGTAACTCTACACTATAATAATTATGTTCTAACCCTTTGAAACTGAGCAAGCCCCCACCTAAATGACCTAAAAGCTATTTTGGTCATTGTGTCTCCTCACAGCAATACAATAACTAAAACATTATCACTCAAGAACATTTTTTAATTTAAATAAATTGCAATTTTAACCTAGGATGTTGACATTTCCCATGTTAAGGGTGTAAAAATTTTGTGAATTATGCCACAATAAAATTGAAAAAGATAAAATTCATTAAGAAAATAAGGAAGAAATTATTATTAAACTTCATCTATTAATAAAAAGATGCTATTTAATCAACATTGAGATTGAAATATGATCTATTCACAAGTAACTCCTGTAGGGCCCTGGTCTCCCTTACTCCTGGAGTGCATTGGCGGGGACAGTTTGTTATTTGTTAACTAAGCTTCCTGTGTGTTTCCGTGCTATCCCTGCCCCACCTGGTGATTTAGCTGCAGGCAATCTTCTCCATTGTTAATATGGTAAATTCCCACCTTCCTGGGCGGAGAGATCTTTGTGCTGCAGTTAGGTAGAAAAGGGCTTCCCCAAGTCTGAATAAACGGCATTCGCTTGATCTCCTATCGAATGACCCTGGTCTCTGTCTCTTGTGTTCAATCTCCAGGCCCTTGCCCGGACTCGCATTCGGTACAGCTGCGCGCGAACTGTACCGAGGGTGTAACACCAAAACCGGGTGTTACAACTCCTAAATTCCTAAGCCTATCTTATATCTCTTCTTTGAGCTTCTAATTCATCGTCATAACAAAAGCAATAATTCCATGTTTTCTAGACATAACAGGACTACTACACTCATGAATTCATTGTAACAATGGTTGCCTGCAGAAGATATTCACAAGAGGGGGTCTATTGATATTCTAGGATAGGTAGGGGAGTGGCACAAGAACACCCCCTCCTAAATGAAGACTATTGAAAGTTGATGAATGCTAGAAGAGAGACAGTATGTTGTTTTTGTTTGGTTGGTTTTAGGTGTATGAAACATGGTAGGTTGACCAAGCTCCAGTTGATGACCCCACACCCTTGTGATTTGAACAAGCATTCATTACACCTATGAATAAATATGAAAAGGTGGAGTATTAACTTCCTAGCCTCTAGTCACCGAAACTGCACCCAGACTAGATCAGATAGGATGTGGAAAGACAAGTTATCTTGTGTATGTGGGTAGTGGAGATAATCTCTACCGGCTTGACCCTGGGTGAGGACGTGGCAAGGTTGGGTATGGAATTGCATGGCATCAGCAACATAAAGTATCCTGTAGGTGAGTGTGAATATGCCAGAAGAAGTTGAGAACCTAGGTATGGGCTGTATTACAGATGGAAGATTGTAGACCTACTGAGAATCTTGAATTTGGGACCCTAGATGAGGTTATAGATCTCTACAGCAAAGTACAGGTGGTCATTCTGGGACAAATCAGTGGTGATTCAATATAGGCTAGGTTTCATAGTATGTGAAAAATGAATATTCAGCTGTGCGTAGAAGTGACTCAGCAGTATAGACCCTGGGTAACAACTAGGGGTCTTCACCAATCTAGACTCTGGTGGAAGTCTAGAATTAGAGTTAAGATGATACTGGCAAATAAAATGATAGTTACTGTGGGTATTTATGAATAGACTGGGTACTGGGGCAAGCCTAGATATTGACTACAGCACAGGAGGATGTGGTCAAAGTAGGCTGGGACACAGTATTTGAGAAGATACAGAAGGCTAGAGATGTCAAACCAAACTGAGGTCATGGTGGTGGTAATATAAACAGGCTTGACCAAGGCAACAGACATGCAAACACTGATTATGGAATGGGTTCGGATAACCTGCAAAGCCTGCACAAAGGATCCTGTAGGTGGAGGTAGTTTTTACAGGTCCTAGCTAGACTATGGATATGGAAACAATACAGATAGAGGGAGAAGTAGGTCTAGGCTTTAGATTTCAACACTGTAGTAGGTAGAGTTCTCTAAGTAGGGTATAGGTGCCATTCCAAAGCAAAGAAAAAGCTGTTCTATCTAGGCTAGATATCATGGGTTATGTAATATAAGTACCTAATGTTTAAGTATAAGAGGGGGTGGGTACTCAATAGGTTAGATCCCGGTGGTGCACTAGAAAATTTGGGTATGGAGTGTGTGGGGGTTTATGCAGCACAAATAATCTTATGGTTGTGAGGGAACTGCTGGAAGTGTAGATGTTGAAGAGCACAGGATGAGGTGATGGTAGGGTGTAATACTTGAAAATCTATAGAAAGGGGTCACTATTGAAAGTCCAGGCAGCCAGGCTAGATCTGATCATAGACTATGGGAGCCAGAAGATATCCAATGGCATGTGGAAAAAACAAACATCCACTGGAGAGAATACTCACAAGCAAGACCAAGGGAGAGGACTTGGGAACATATAGATTTAGAGTATTGTGGCATAAGCTTAAAAAAGAATCCTTTGGATAGATATGAGTAGGCTGATCATGATGTGAGACAAGGTGTTGGCTACAACACAGGAGGAAGAGGTAGGGCATAAGAAGGCATGGGAATTGAGCACATGGGAAAAAAACAATATGTCACCACTGCAAGGTGCTGGTGGTCATATCATGACAGGGTGGCAATTAGATCCCATTTGACATGGAAAGTAAGTATATGGTTTGTATGTGAGTGTAGTTAACAGGCTTGACTCACAGAGAGGACATGAAAAGATGTAGGGAGTGCGATGCTTTAAGTAAGACAAAGGGCTTTGATGAGGAGGTAGATAGGGTGGGTCTTGTCAGGAGACTAGAAGTTAGCTACATCATATGAAGAGATGGTACAACTAGCAATGGACTTAGGATTTTGGACACTGTGGGAGGTAAGAGATCTATATTGCACTGATCTGGTGCCAATACAAAATTGTACAATGGCTATTCAATATATGCTATATCATACTGGACATTCAAAACAAGTGCCCAGTGGGAGAGAGAGGGCCTCTGAGTTTGGTAAGGGGAGTTGTATGAAGGTGAAAGTGTCTTATGGGTAGATATGGACAGGCCAGTCCCTGGTGGAAGCCTAAATGTTGTTTATAGCCCAAAATGGGGTAGTAGAACTAGGCTGGGATGTAGGATTTCTAATACTACTGAGGAGCAGAGTCAACTAGGAGAAAGCAAGGTATGTCAGAATAGGTCCAGTCTGTGCTTTTGGAATCAGAGTTTATCCATTTTATATGGAAAAAAGTGTCTGGTTGTTGTGAGGTATACTCAACAGTCTAGACCCTGGAGGAGGACATGGAAAATCTGGGAATATAGTGGTCTGCTATCAGAATCTCAAAGTATCATCTGTGAAGATGTAGGTATAGAGGGTACTAACAGGAGACTATATGTTGTCTTCAGCACTGCAGAAATTGGTGGGACTAGACTATGCTTCAGGAATTGAAAATCTAAATGCAGTTTTCAGAATAGCCAGGTACACTGACTATGCAACCAGGACTAGATCCAGTGGGTAGGATGTAGAAAAAGATGTACCCACTTGTTTGTGGGCTATACACAAGCTAGGCTTTAGAGAAGGAATTGGGGAGTCTGGGTATGGAATGTGGGCTGTAGACAGTATCAAAGGTCCTATTGGTGGATACTGGTATATCATGTCCAGGATAAAACACTGGTGTTGTCTATAATAAAAAAAGAGGTGGCAGAACTAGGCCAGCTTGAGGGATGTGGAACCCTGCAGAACCCTACAAGCTCCTACTGCAAAGCACAGCTGAACAGACTATGTCTGTGCACTGGCACTGTACCAGGTACTATGCAGGAAGTGGAAAATTTAGTATCTTGTGTGTGGGTGGTATACTCAATAAACTTGACTAAAGGGGAGGACATGTGAATAATGGGTATGGAGTGGAGTGGTGTAGGTGGCACAAAGGACCATGTGGCTGAAACAGTCTTAACAAAAGCTTAGATGTAAGCAGAGAAATCAGTGTTGAGAATAGTCATGTGCCTGAGTATAGGGACCATGGGCAAGGATAGAGGTCTCTACTGAATTTTTTAAGTGCCATTCTAGAATAAAGCAGCGTCTGTTCAATCTAAACTAGATCCCACAGGATACAGCACAATGTACTGAGTGGAGACTATAGTCACCAGGTTATACATTAAGGCAGAATGTAAGAGATCTATGCTTGGAGTATGGTGGTGTAGGAAGCTCAGAATGCCATGCAGGTAGATGTTATTAAGGTGGGTCTTGGTGAAATGCTCTATGTTGGCAATACCCAGGATAAGATGGTAGTACTAACTTGGGGTACCAGAGTAGGACACTGCTGAGGCCAAGAGGCAGCTAGCAGATGGCAAGTTGTACCAGATTTGGTGTGTTCTTTGGCTGTCGGAACCAGAACCGTATTTATCTGGTCAATGTAGAAAAACAAGTACCTAGGTGTGGGGAGGAGTCTTTAAAATTCTAGCCCCTAGAGGAAGACAGGGAAAGTCTGGGAATATGTTAGAGTGATATAGGTGTCTCAAAATGCCCTTGCCATGAATGTGGGTAGAGAGGGTACTATCCGGAGTCTATATGTTGGCCATAGCACAGCAGGAGTTGCTGAGGACTGGGCAATGCTTTAGGAATTGAAATTCTGTGGAAGCCTAGAACTTCCTTCTTTAAATTGTAGTTTCCAGAATAGGCAGGCACACTAGCTGTGTAACTAGGGCTAGACTCAGTGGTATGTAGAAGAAAATGAATCTACTTATTTTGGAGTTACACTATAGGCTAGACTCTAAAGGAGACAAGGGAAGTCTTCGTACAGAGTGTGTGGTGTAGGCAGCATAACAATTACTGTGAGTGGGCGATAATATGGTGAGTCTTGGCTACAGCCTGGATATAGGTACAGACACCAAAGAAAATGGTCTATCAAGGCTGTGTGATTTATGGCCATGAAGATCTATATAGATCCCAACTTCCAGGTACAGGTGTCAAGACTGGGTGTGGGAAGTGGGCAAATCTAGATCCTACAAGATATCCTATTTGCACATATGTGTGTGTTGGGGGGAGTAGTCAACAGGTTTGACTCAGGCTGAATAAGGACATGGAAACAGTGGGTAGGTAGTAGAGTTGTATAAGCAGAACAAAGGGCCATGTGGGTACATACAGTGAGTGGATCATGGCAGGAGCCTAGGCTTTGGTTATAACATGGAAGATATAGAAGGCTAGATATAGGCTCATGGTTTTTGATATGGAACAATGTTTGAGGTCTGAACTTCAAAGCTCAGGTACCATTCTATATTGAAGCAGTGTTTATTCCATCCAGCCTAGATGCCACTGGAAGTAAAAAGATAAGTATGGAGGTAATGGGGTTTATTCACTATCCTATACTCTGTAGGAGGACACAAGAAATCTGGGCATGGAGTAGTTTAGGTGGTACAAAGTGTTCTGTGGGTGGATGTGAGTATAAAGTAGTGGTTCTAAATCTTCCTAATGCTATGACCCTTTAATATAATTCCTCATGTTGGGGTGTTCCCAAACCATAAAATTATTCCATTGCTACTTCATAACTGCAATTTGGTACTGTTAAGAATCATAATGTAAAGATCTTACATGCATGCTATCTTATATGCAACCCCCAAAGGCATCACAAACAACAGGTATAGAACCGCCAGTGTAGAGGGTCCTGTTAGGAGTCTAGATGTGGAAGACAGTGCAGGAATAGGTGATGGGATTAGAAGGGGTGTAGGAATTGAAACTTTGTGGAAACATTGCTCTTACAATGCCAGGTACACATTCTAGTATTGGACACTGCCTGTAAGAAACAGGGAAGAATCAGTGGAATATGCAAAATTAATGTCCAATGAGTAGGGTATTCATCAGGATAGGCCCTAGGGTGATGTGGGAGTCCCCTCTGTGTGTTGCTTTTCTTGGTTAATGAATAAAGAAACTGCCTTGTCCTGTTGATAGGGCAGAACTTAGGTAGGCAGGAAAGACAGAATTGAATGTTGGGAGAAGGAAAGAGTCAGAGAGATGCTATGGAATCACTACCAGAGTCAGACATACTGAATCTTTGCCAGTAAGCCAATGCTATGTGACAATATACAGATTAATAGGAATGGGTTAGATCAAGATGAGAGAGTTAGCCAATAAGAAGCTAGAGCTAGTGGGCCAAGCAGAAATTTAATTAATACAATTTCTGTGTGGTTATTTCAGGGCTAAGCTACCTGGGAGGCTGGGATGAATAAGTGGTTCCATGCAACAATTGGCACCAATGTGTTGGACTAAGTCAATATAAAACCTGAGAGGGTTTGAAAAGGAATTCTAGAAAAAATACAGATTTAACACAGCTTCTTGCTGTTTGCTGGAGGCTTACTGCAGCATCTTCCTGGCTCAGCCCCAGAATAAAAGAACAGTGGTTTTGAAATGCTGGCTGTGTTGCCAGCACAACCTCTGCCTCTAGAGACAGAACATCTGGATGGGGTTTGTAAGTAAGGTGCTAAGGCTTGCTTTGTGGCAAAGTGGACCTGATAAGTACCTGGAAGTGGGGTAGTATGCCTGTGGCTCAGAGGCACAAGTGACTCTGCCATGCTTGGCTGGGTGGAGCAAGAACTTCTTTACCATATTTGACCTAGTAATGGTGCAGCTTAAGTTTTAGACTGTGCTGAGAAAGCAGGAAGTGCCATATATACCCTATTTATAGTGCAACTTAAGTTTTTAAGAAGCAGTATTTAAAAAAAAATGCTACTGGACAGTAAAGAATTACAGAGTCACAATAGGACAGATTCAGACATAAAAGACCTCTAAATGGGTCACAGTGTTGGATAAAAGTATGTAGGCTTAGAAGAGAGAAGAAAAAGAGTATAGTCATAAAATAAAGTTAATTCTTTAAAAAAAGGTTAAAGTCTTCAAAGAGACAGAGTACTGATAGTCATAGATTAAAAGGAATGAAGAAAAATAAGCCACATAAAAAATGGAAAATTTACAGAGAGTCTGGATTATGTGTATTATTGTGTTTTTTTTTTGAGATTTTACTGTGAAGGAGCTAAGTACAGAGAGATATTTCATTGTATGACTTGCTGAGCCAAACCAGCATGTATATTATAAAGGTATCAGGACTTTCAAATTTGGGTCTAAGGATATGTTGCTCTGGAAAATTCTTCTCTTGTTTCCACAGAAGATGAGAAACTGTGGATTGCTTCCAGACCAATATGGTTTCATGGAACAAGACCCCTTTAAAGGTTGCTGTGAACACCCTCAAAAAATTAGTTGGCCCAATTGCTGACTGAGATGAACCTAATATACAGGATACACCAGAAAAGACCTGATTAAAAGTGCCCCCAAACAGCAGGAAGTAATATGGAAAAAACTATGCCCATATTCCCAAATATTGTTTATAAAGGTTTGTTTCCATTTGAATGGGGATATGCTATAGAGATTTGCATGGATATGGATCTTCATTTATTGATACAAATTGAAGGTCAATTTTGTTATATGTATATGTATTTCTGATCTTGATTAAGGTATTATGATTGTGTAGTTCATTTAAAAATGTATAATTAAGAAATATAGGTTAATAGATACTCATCTATAATAGTCAAGCTTGTAGTCATGTTAGTTAGATTTTCTAGATATATAGGTATATTTCAGTTAGTTACGTATTCTTCAGATCTTTCTGAGACCTTCAGAATAGGGCATTTAAAATGTTTTAAAAATTTAAGACTTTGCATGACAGTGAGACACATCTGCTCCAGGCAGCACCAATTACTTTGAGAGGAAGATGGGCATTGAAGAGTCTCCTTAACCATTTGGGCAAAAAACTGCTCTTGTCTCAACTGCTGAATTGGAAATATAGTACTTGCAGAAAAATGACTGCTGAACCTGCCTAATGGTGAGATGATCCTTAGGGGTTCTTCCTTCATGAAAGAGTCTATGAGACATGCTACAGGATACAGAAGAAAGTGACTGAACTGTCTTTGAAATTTCCTACTACATGGAAATGTATGCTAGATAGTATGGCCTGTAGGCTGAAGATGGATGCTCTAATGATACAGAAAAACTTTGGGTGACTGTCCAGGCAGTAGGATGTCTCTGTCAATTCTAGAGTTTTGGAAGTTGCTTACAATATACTTCCTTTTTACTTAGGTAATATTATAGCCTTCTGCAGTCTTTGATGGAGTTGAAGAACAGATACTGTTTTCCTTAGTTATGATAAAAGATAAAGTAAATATAAATACTGTAACTGTAATTCTTGCTTGATTCCTGTTATTTTAATTATACTATGTTAAAACCTTCCTTTTTATTTAAACAGAAAAGGGGAGGGGATGTGGGAGTCCCCTCTGTGCGTTGCTTTTCTTGGTTAATAAATAAAGCAAGTGCCTTGGCCTATTGATAGGGCAGAACTTAGGTAGGCAGGGAAGACAGAACTGAATGCTGGGAGAAGGAAAGAGTCAGAGAGATGCTATGGAGCCACTGCCAGAGTCAGACATGCTGAATCTTTGCCAGTAAGCCATTGTCATGTGGCGATATACAGATTAATAGAAATGGGTTAAATCAAGATGTGAGAGTTAGCCAATTAGATGCTAGAGCTAATGGACCAAATACTGATTTAATTAATACAATTTCTGTGTGGTTATTTCAGGGCTAAGCTAGCTGGGAGGCTGGGATGAACAAGTGGGCCCTCCTGCAACACTAGAAGACGTAGGCAGTATGGGTATGGAATTAGATGGTATAATTGGGAAAAAATATCCTATGGGTGAGTGTGATTAGGCTAGTTCTTGTTGGGACCCTATTAATTGACTACAACATAGGAGCAGATTGTGGAACAAGGTGGAGGTGTGTAATTCAAAACTCTTTGGAAAGCTTGAGGTAACAACTGAAAGGTATTGGAAGCCATTGTATGCAAGGGTATTGTCTGTGGAATACCAGATAGATCCTATGGGATGTAAAAATGAAGTATGCAATTGTGGTACAAGTATTATGTGTACAGTGGTGTCCTCAACAGGCTTCACCATGGGCAGTCACAGGATGTCTATATATGGAGTAATATGGTCGAAACATCACAAACATGCTGTGGGTGGATATGAATTTGTCAAGTTCTGGTTGGAGCCTAGGTGTTGGCCATATCAGGAGGAGGTGATAAAAACTGTGCAGGGGCTTGGCATTTGGGTCCCCGCAGAAGTCTAGCACCCCCAATTGCCAAGGGAAGATGGTCAGATTATGACTGTACGTTGGCTGAGCTACTCAGTGGAGATAAGATGGGAGGGGGAAAAACAAGTATCTTATTGTGGGTGGGTTTTCCAACAGGTAGACACTGGAATAGGACACGGAAAGTCTGGTTATTGAATGGATTGGTATTGGAGGCACAGAGTATCCTATGGGTAGATGAAGATAGATTGGGTAACAGCAAGAGCCTATAGCAAAAGCAGAAGTGGTATGACTAGCCTGGGGCATGAAATTTGGGATCTTACTGCAAAATCCCTATTGCAAGGGGAAGGAAGGCAGACTACATGGAAGCAATGGATGGGGGTACTGTGCTAGATCCAAGGGGTATAAAACTACAAGTATACAGCAGGGAGGGTTCTCATTAGGGTAGAACATGGGAAAAACCATAGGTAATCTAGTATGAACTAAGGTAGAACAGGAAGCAAGGAATTCTGTGTGTGGATATGGGTAAGGAAGGTTCTTGAGGGAACCTGGATATTGGCTATAGCATAGAAAAGGGTGGAATGGGGTCTAGAAAATGGATTTGGGATGCCATGGAAAGCTAGAATCACTACTCCATGGTGCTGCTAGCTAGACTGGGCCAGATTACTAGGTCTCAGGCTAGGTACAGCTCATGAGGAAAAGTAATCACCCCCAGGCTAGATATAGCTGATGTGGAAAAACAAGCATACAATATATGGGGAGGCAAACTCAAGAGTCTTGACACTGAGGGAGGGCATGCAAAGTCTAGGCATTGAATTGGGTGGTTTGGGCTGTATAGAGGATGCTGTGGGTGGATGAAGTAAGGTATAGTTGTGGAAGGAATATTGGTGTTGTTACAGCACAAAAGGAGGTGGTGGGGCAAATCTGTGAAAAGGGATTTGAAACCCTACTGAAACTTAGAGGTGCACATTTAAAGGGGCAGACAGCCAGAATAATATTGGACACTGGTTGTGCTACTTAAGAGAGATGAGGCAGGTAGAAAATCTAATATCTCATTGTGTGTGGAATACTCACAGGTTAGACCCTGAGGGAGGACTTTGGAAATATTGGTGCAATAGGAAGCACAGTGTCCTGTATGTGGATCATGGTAGAGTATGTCTTTCTGGGATCAGGCATAGAAGAGGTGATGTGAGATGACCCTCTACAGGCTGTGAATACATTTTATTATCATTAGTTAAGAAAGAAGTTTTGGCCTATGGCAGGGCAGAATATACCTAGGCAGGAAAACCAAGCAAAGAGACAATGAGAAAGAAGGTGGAGTAATGAGATGCCATCAGTCACAAGAGGAATAAGATGCCAGAGCATTACCAGTAAGCCACAGGGCACATGGTGATACATAGATTATTAGAAATGGGTAAATGCAAATGTAAGAGCTAGTCAATAAGAAGCCTGAACCATCAGCCAAAGAATTAGTATGAAGCCTCCAAGCGATTCAGCCTCCTAATGATTCTTCTATAAGTGATTATGGGGACTAGTAGGTGGGAGAGAAGCTGGTCTAGCAAGAACAGGCAAAACAGAGAAAAGTTTCCAGCTACATTAGAGGTGTTGAGACTAGGCTAGAGCATGGGATTTGGGACCCTGTTGATGCCTAGAGGTCCCCACTATAAGGGGCAGACAGCCAGACTAGGCCAAGTACTGTGACCTCAAGCTAGATCCATCTGATGTGAAAAAAATAAGCATCCAGTGAATATAAATGTGAAGGCATACTCAAGAGGTTTGACCCTAAGGGAGAACATAGGAAGGCAAAGTAAGGAGCATGGGTATACACACAGCACAATGGGTCCTACAGGTAGATGTGGAGGTCAGGAACCTAGATGTTGACTATAGAACAGGAAGGGGTATTGGATTAAGCTAGAAGCAGGAGTTAGGGATCATGTTGAAGCCTAGAGGTGAGTACCGCAAAGCAAAGAATGTAGACTAGTATAGGTACTGCCTGTGGGACTCAGGATAGATCTTGCAGTATGTGGAAAATAGTATCTATAGCTGGGCTGAGAACTCAGCACAGTAAACCCCAGGGGAGGGTACGAGAAGTCTGGGTAAGGAGTATGGTTCTTTAGGCAGAATAAAGGATGTGTGGATAGATTACGAGAGGGCAGGCTATAGTACAAAATAAGGTGGTGGAAAGAGGCCAGGCCTTGTGATCTCAGACATTCTTTAAAACCTAGAAGACACTACTACAGGTCCCAGAGTCCAGGATAGAATAAGACACTGACTGGTATGTAGGATAGACCAGGCAGTATATGAAAAAACAAGTATTTGGTTGGGTGTTTGAAGTGGAGGTAGCCATCAGAGTAGAGCCCGGAGGATGAGGGGAAAAACCAGGTGAGCAGTGAGGTTGTGTAGGCAGAAAAAAGTACTGTGGAAAATACAGACATGGACTGACAAGGCAGCAACACAATGGGAATTATTGTGACAAG